AGTCTTAATCTTTCCTCTGGTGACATGTGTCTCGAGGCCCAGGCCGCTTTGACCTCTTCACTGAACCTGTTGGTTAAAGCTGGATCGCCGTCCCCGTAAAATTTGTTAATATGGGACTCTCTGGGCAGGACCACAATATGGGTCTGCTTCTCGTCCAGAGTAGACATTTTATTCCTTGAGTAAAAAAAAAAAAGAGTTCTTTCTTACCGTGTGTGTATGAAAAATTTTCCTCGTTCCTCAATTTTCACTGTTCCTGAATGTCCGAATTCACACACACACGAAACACAGTTATGAACAAGGTTGACTATGGGTGCCTCAAGCGGCAGGTCTCGTTGAATTCATCATGTCCGCAGCGCCAAATGTAACGAGACTATTTGCCTGTAGTGCCAAATGTTAACGAGTTCTGCTCGACAACGCCAAATGTTACCGAGTCTAACCACTCATTCTACACAACATCGACCACAGTATAGATACTCGAAGATGCAGGTTCGCTATTGATCCTTTTATTACATGAATCAAAGAAATGCTTCACAATAATATAATGAATCAAAAGGAATGCTTCACAATAATAGTCTGAATCAACTGACCCCCAACAGTCCTCACTAGTCTTCACATAACTGAATGCACATGTCTATCGTCCTTCTTAACACAATACGGCTAACCCGTTCAATAACCAACTTGATACTGCCACACTGACTGACTGATCGAGAGAGAGAGCGAGCTCAGCCGTCGCCTTCCTATATATCCCCTTCGTATTCGTAATCGTATTCGGTTCTATCATAATCGTAATCGTAATCGATTCTAATCGTTGCATCAGAATGTTAATTACGCCGCTTCTGTCGTACAGTCCGATTTAATAAGCCATCTGCATCCTGTCACATCAAAGTTGACAGACCGTATTGCGTTCTTATCGTATCGCTTCCCAAGATACTACGCCTTGGCTTTCTGATCGTTATCAGCCAACACCTGCGTTATTACATCAGTCGTGTCAAAGTTGACAGCGCTGTACTGCGTTCTTATGTCTCTGGTAACTTCCCCTAGTTACATATATATATATATATATATATATATATATATATATACACATATACATATATGTATATATATATATATATATATATATATATATATATATATATATATATATATATATATATATATATATATATATATATATATATATATATATATATATATATATATATATATGTGTATATATGTAGGCCTATATATACATATATTTATATTCGTATAGATTTGATCTTCTGTGATCTTTAATGATTCAACGGACCATGCATAATTAAATTAGAAAGTATCTTATAGTTCAGGCGACAAACTCAATACGGTGGTCAGCTCCAAACTTTGATTGAATAATAATTAGAGCGATTAGACACAGAATGGGAGCATTCAGATTAATACCCTATTATTCAATTTAGCCCAAAGCAGTAACATTCCATTTCCGTTGAACATCTTACTCAATTCGTACTTAGTAGAATTCATTATCGCCACTGGTCAATTTCCCAGTTGTCCTTCGCAAAAATATCGAAATTAGTAGATAATTCACTTTAAAACCGGGCTGTGGAATAGATTAACCACACAGAAAAATAGAAAAAGCCCGCATTTTTATTCTCACCACGACTTAGTCTAGACAAAGGCGTTTATTGTCTGGATTAAAGAATTAACAATTCCCCATCTGTTCTGTCGCATCTATTCATCTGTAAAGTGTTATAGAGAACAATAAGGTATTTAAACACCGAAGAATAGAACCTATTTAGCACATATTCCCCGATTGAGCCATTACGAATTATCGGCCGTAAACACGTTAAGCTATGGAATGCATCAATCAACACGCTAATCAATTATGTCTATTTTTAGCATCAAACGATTTTTCTCCCCTGCTATTGTGGCTATTGTTACTCCCGTCCACCGCTGTTCTACATATCAGTTTTAATTAATTATTTTTAGCACCGGTAACATATACCTCTGTCACGTGGGTTTGTTATTGATCGGATTTCGCTGCAGTCATGATGTATACGCCAGATACATTAGTGGTCTCAGAGAAATAGACTACACGAAGGGGCAACGAACAAACAGCAAATTAAAATTCATCGGTGTATTTCTAGCTGTTATTTGTAAAATGATTTCATTACGGGCCAAAGATACAAACAGTGCATTAATATAGTTATTAGAAACATTGAAAGGCAGTGCGGCGAGGCAGAGCGCTTGACTGCTAACCCAGACTTCTTTCTCGGGGGGGGGGGGGGGGGGGGGAGGGGGGGGGGGGGGGGAAGGACGGACTTGAAATTTTCGGGGGGCGGGGGGGGGGGGGGGGCGGACTAAAGTTTCCGGGGAGGGGGAGGCGGACACTGTTAAAAGAATATATTTTCTATATAAATTCCATTTCGTTGGGTGGGGGGTATGGCGGTAGACTTTCTTCGAAGAGGTGCCTGGAAGCAGTGGCGTAGCGAGGGGGGGGGGCGGGGGTGCGGACCGCATCGGGTGACACCATTTAGGGGGGTGACACCAAGGTAAAAAATAGCAAAATATATAGAGAAAAACTTGAGGGCGGGGGGGGGGTGCAAATCGAAAGTTTGAGAGGGGGGTGCAAATCGGAAATTTGAAAGTTTGTCCCCGGAAAGGGTCGCTACGCCTCTGGGGGGGGGGTGACACCATTAAGTGCCGCACCGGGTAACACCCGACCTCGTTACGCCACTGCCTGGAAGAAACTCTGCACAGAAACTGGTTAACTCTACTCCACTTGCCCGTCAGGTTCGAAAGGGTAATTTTTTTAAAAAAAGGAGAGGCAGAAAGCAAAGGGCAGATTAATGTTACTTTTGTCAGGGAGAGTCTGATAAAAACAAGTCACTTCTGATGTGACTTTGTGAACCTACTCTAGAAACTAAAAACTACATAAAAACATGACGCGCGCTAAAATATTACCGAATTAATCTTCATCAATGGTACGAAGTCTAGGCTGTGTCAATATAAAGGAAAATATTTCTTACACCAATTGGTTGTATTATATAGGCTATATTAGGACGTATCAACAAGCTTACATATTTAAAACGTCTTTATAATTCAATAGTTTCAATCTGTTAGTTACAATACAGGCTAATTATATTACAGAGTTATTTTTATCCCTGTAGGATATCTGAGAATAAATATATTTCGGCAACCGGGGACAAAAGCCGGCATATCAGTTACGTAGGCAGGAGCTGATCATAACAACCTTACTCAAAATATAATACCGAAACATACAATAACGTACACCCCCTTCTTTCGATACGATCTAGACAAGCCTATACATTTGATATATAAATTGTTAGCTATAAATGGTGCGCTGTCATAGAGATAAAACTTTATCTTTTTTTAAAAACTCTATCACTGAACGGTTCTTTGAGCCGGGGTCATGGGTCAGCCGAAATAAACAAAAGAGAAAAGTCAAAGTACAAAGCACTCAAGAATCTCGCACGAAGATTATTTATCTGCATCAAAGATCTAATACTCTTTGACGTGGTATAAAAGAAGAGACATTTTTAGCAAGATTCACTAAAATAGAATATTGAAACGTGTATAGACCGACACTTAAATAGATTTTTATAGAGTTTAATGCCTAAAGCTAATAATATACAATCTCAGTCTAACCCCTCCCAACTAGATGAATCGAGGGAAAATGCAAATGTTATATCTATTTATCTGCCCAACTTTCAGCAATCTAAAGCTCATCTGCTCTTTGAATGAGTTCAAATGTATCTCTTTGTACAGACTTTTAACTAAGAAAAGATAAATGTAGGCCTACGTATTTCTACATTTGATGTAATATCACGAACAATTTTTACACATTTTCTTCTTTAAAAAAAAACCAACAACTTTAGAATGGTTCCTTTAATTTTATTCCTAAAAACAAAGTTGCTGACTGCTGGTCTAGCCTCTAAAAAAGGTAGATTGCCACTTGTACGTTTTCAGCCAAATAATCGGACCGTTAGGCGGCCATTAGCTGAACATTGCCAGGTAAACGTTCCCGCATTACGCCTAATTAACGTCAGGCTGTTGTACAGGGGAGGGCTGTGAGTAATGGCAGAAAGGTAGATAACTTCGATATCTGCTTCCAGAGAAAAAAATATGTCTCGTTGGATGTTGTTTATTAGCCCCCTGCATACGTAGAACTTTGTAAAACTGCAGGATGAAGGGAAACACGGTTAATTGGTTGGTGAACTAGATCTGATACACATTTTGGTTCACAATATCTTCTGCGATCTATGGGATTCCTTGATACATTGATAGGAGATAGATTGTAGGTAGTAACACAATGGTTCAAAGATTAATCCGCATAACACAAGTATGTAAGAAAGCTTTACGAAACAATTAAACTGAATTGACCGGTTAGAGTCAGGAATTTTAGTCTTTAATGTCAAGCCAATGTGGCCAGTTTTGAGCAGTTGGTCTTCTATGTCCAGCTACACTTAGTCTATTATATCCACCTAGTTTGGCCAAAATTGGTCTTTTACATCCAGTAAGTGTGGCCAGACAAAGTTGGTCTTTTAAGTCCAGTTTATTTATATGCAGTTTCTGACAGAGTTTCTTCCAGGCATCTCTGCCTCCCCCCCCCCCTCCCCCGAAATTTTTTTACCGCCCCCCCCCAACGAAATTTATATAATTTATATAGAAAATATACTTTTAACAGTGCCCCCCCCCCCCCCGGAGAAAAAAAGTCTTGAAGAAACAATGGTTTCTGTTGTCATTTGGTTTTCAATGTCCACCTACTAACACTATTTTGATCTACGAATGTAAAATCTAACTTCGTTTTCGTAGATTTAGAATCTACATACTCGCTTCATTTCTTTAAAAGCAGTGCTGAAAAGTGTAACGTCGAAAAACTGATACGAAGTTTTGCTAGTTCTAAAAATGCAAAATGTTTTACTCTTCTTGTTTAGACAATGTTTGTTTAATTTAAGACGAAGCAAATGAGCAATCTAAAGAAGTTTTTAATTTGCGGCCAGTTGCAGATGACGGGCGATGGGAAAGTAGAGAAGTGCTCAACAGAGGCAGACATCTTTTTCCATTCCAGTACAAGTTGCCGGAAGGTAATTAGGAATGTATCTCTTAGAGTGGAGAGTGATAGAATTTGAATTAGGGAGCGAGCGAGAGAGAGGGATGAAAATTGGAAAAATGAGAGAGAAGGAATAAAAGAGAGGTGAATGACATGTCTATCTGCGTGGTACATGAATGGCTGAATGTTTAAAAAAAAGATAATGTAATAATGTAGATCAGAGTCTGGTAAATTTCTGGTGAAATAAATGCAGCGAAAAGTTAAAGATATTTTTTTTTTAAAGTTAATTATTTTAATTAAGGATATTGGCCAAAACGGTTAGTCTGCCCAGCCAGGCTGCCGAGGGCAAGGCAATCCAGCAATATTAATATTATTATCGTTGACGTGCATGGGAAACTGTATTAAATGAATTATAAATCTAAATAAGAATTGTGGAAATTAAATGAAAATAGAATTATAATTTTGCAACAACCTTGATTCAAAAGATTAAAGGCTGAGAAAAATTTATAGAGATTTCCCCTGAGTTATATTTGTCTTGAAGATGCAATCTATAAATTCAGATTAGCTGATAGCTACGCTGAACACTGGAGCATGTAGAGAAATGCGGGGAAGGGGAGGGCAGCAGCTTTCTAATGAAGACAATCAATATGCTATTTTTAGAGTTTCCATCTCCATACTAACTTGATTTGATTCTTGTCTAGATCTATGCGCTACTAGAATTTGGCTCTTATAGCTAGGCTTGTAGGATGTTTATTTGATTCTTAAGAAGTTTTATGCCCCTAAGGTTGACTTAATAAATACAAATACAATTTATTAAATATAAATTAAATAACAGCTATCACTTTACCATTCTAACCAGCCTTTTGCTCATAAATATAGTTGGTTAAACAAGTATTATTAGATAAACTTATAGGCTATATATATATATATATATATATATATATATATATATATATATATATATATATATATATATATATATATATATATTATAAAGAATTTTGAAAATGAATTAAAAATAACTTTTTTATTCCTTTATTAATTTCAACTTTAACAATAAAACCTGTTTAATTTTGTTATGATATTAAAATGCATGAATGCTGTATTAAACATTTTCTTTGTTAATTTTATTTTAACCTAACATTGAAACTTTAAAACTTTTAATTTAGATGTTGCACATTAATGTGCAGGCTAGCATACAACTATTTTAACAATCTAAATTCATAATGATGCTATTTAAAACATTAATTTAAATATTTTAACATATTCACAAGTTCAACCTAAAATCTTAATGATGCTATTTAAAACATTAATTTAAATATTTTAACATCTTCACATGATCAATCTAAAATCTTAATGATGCTATTTAAAACATTAATTTAAATGTTATGCAATATTTGAATGTTTACATTTTCTGTGTAAGTAAAATTTTTTTCAATAACGCTTTTAAAAAAAAAAGGAATACCATGCTCTTTTGAGGGTCCGGAGGCAAGCATACGCTACACTGTTCATGGCGCCTTGACTAGAGTTGCTGGCCCTAACATCACTACTCAGAAAACTGTGACTGTCTTAAGGGACTTGGACTCTAAGAGAGACAATGAGAAAAAATCACCATCAGTATGTTTACAAATGTTGTTGATTTGAAGAAAAAACTGTTGATTCAATTTTTTTAAGAGCCCAAAAAAAATTACATTTGCTATATTTGATTCAGTAATTATAAGCAAATTTTTAAAAACATGGAGTAATGAGTATAACAGTGTTCTTCAACAATAAGTAAATGTCTAGGTTTTCTTTACTTTATTATGTTTTTATTTCCTAAAAAGAAATGTAACATTGTATAAAATTTTCTCTCTGACTTAATAGCTGTCATCTGCGGCTGAAAAAGAGTTCATCCGTTTTTGTGACTCAAATATGAAACTGAGCTTAATACTAACATTAATAGATACCAAAATCCAAAATTTGGTTACAGGAAATATAGATCACTAAGTCTACTTACCTGCAGTCCAAAGATTTTAGTTTTTACAAGTTCTCTTATGTCACAAAATAAATCTATGCTTAATTGTAAATAAATTAGTTTTTTATCTCAAATTCATTTTTATTGTTAAAACTATTTTTTCACTAAAAAAAATAATGTGTGTTACAATATTAACAGTACTAAAATATATTTTATGTTAACTTTACCATAATACATTTTATTTTTACGATACTGCAGTAGTAATATATTAGGTTTACCATAATAAATTTTCTTTTAATGGTATTGAAATATTTGTATATTAACTTTTCAAAATTACTTTTTGACTTAATGTTTCTATATATTTGCAATTTAACTTTACCAAAATAAGTTTTCTTTTAACTGTACTGAAATACATGTATGTTAACTTTACCAAAATACTTTTTTAATGGTATTGAAATATTTTTTATCAGTCACGTCATGTATTGGAGGACCATGCTGAGCGCACATTCAGCACGACGTGTTGTCGACCTTCTCGAGTCTCCTGCTCACTCTGTGTACTCAAACGCTCATATGTTCCAGGGGAAACAATCCATGCTGATGTACAAATCCACAACATGACGATGAGAAAATCTGGCTCATGCAGACTGCAGCTTAAACAAGTACTACATTTGTTTTTTAAACGTACCATTTAATTATATTACTGTATAAAACACAGTATGGAGTCTTTTATTATATACATTATGTTATTTAAAGACAGCTTAAAGCCCATAATTGATTTTTCAATGTGGTTTTCTCTAAAATTAATGACTAAATTTTTTTATAGCAGTATACAATATTTATAAGCAAAAAGTGTATTTCCTGTGATATTTTCACCACCCTATTTGATTTCAAATAAGTAAAGTAAGTCTAAATAAAAAAGTCAAACTATGGAATTTAAGCTGTCCTTAAAAAAAAATTAGTATATTACTTGTGAAAACAGCTGTTTATCTGGATGTGTTTGCAGCTTGTGACCTATGGAGAAAGTCACTGCCGGCCTATTCTACTTCTTGACTTAGAGTTCCATGAAAGCATTAGACCTGGCCAAAGACGACAATGGAAAAACCTGAGCCTTATCGTCCCATCAACCTGTCCTTCTAAGCTGAGCAAATGCAGAGTTATAGATGTTAGATACTGCGTAGCCGTGAGTATTGTTGAGGAGTTATAGATGTTAGATACTGCGTAGCCGTGAGTATTATTGAGGAGTTATTGATGTTAGATACTGCGTAGCCGTGAGTATTGTTGAGGAGTTATAGATGTTAGATACTTCATAGCAGTCAGTGTTTTTAAGTCTAAAATTTTGGGGTGTCACTAGCATAGCTACCTTCTGGCCTAGTAGTAGAGCACTAAACTACTAATACGAAAGTATCAAGTTCGAATCCAGGTTCAAGTCAGTAGAACAACCCTAAGTCCATCCATTTCTGGTATCTACCTCATGTTAAGGAAAGTAAAGGTATCTGGGCACAGTGTTGACTATATTATCACTTCATATGCCAAGGTCACAGAAATAAGTGAACTCGACTTCACATGCCCCATGTACCGTTTGGTTCAAAAAGAGAACTTTTCTTTTTAATTTTTTTTACTAGCATGGTAGCATAGGTTGGTCTGTATGTTCCTTAATTTTAAAAGATAAAATTTATCTGTTCATCAATCATTTTTAAAAATTATTAATTATTTTCACCCATTTGTTAATCTTTCCCTCCTCCTTCTTAAAAAAAAAACAATTATAATTTTCACATTTTTCAGATAGAATGTCAGTTCTCAATTTCACATTTTTCAGATAGAATGTCAGTTCTCAATTTCACATTTTTCAGATAGAATGTCAGTTCTCAATTTCACATTTTTCAGATAGAATGTCAGTTCTCAATTTCACATTTTTCAGATAGAATGTCAGTTCTCAATTTCACATTTTTCAGATAGAATGTCAGTTCTCAATTTCACATTTTTCAGATAGAATGTCAGTTCTCAATTTCACATTTTTCAGATAGAATGTCAGTTCTCAATTTCACATTTTTCAGATAGAATGTCAGTTCTCAATTTCACATTTTTCAGATAGAATGTCAGTTCCCAATTTCACATTTTTCAGATAGAATGTCAGTTCTCAATTTCACATTTTTCAGATAGAATGTCAGTTCCCAATTTCACATTTTTCAGATAGAATGTCAGTTCTCAGATTCAGTTCTTTACGCCGCTGTGCCTATAACTATAGCTACTGTTCCAGAGAGAGGCATCATCCCAGTCAGGTGGTCTTACCAAGGTGATCACATACATAAAAAAATACATTAACCCTTTTTTACTTTCATTTCATCATTTCATTTATTTTTATAACAGTTTTTTTTTACCATAATTTAACACAATTAGATTCTTAAGATCTACTCAGGTTTTAGTAGTTAAATATTTTATGCTTAAAATGTATTAAAGATTTTAAAAATATTTTTAAAAATGTTACTTTTTTTGTAATAGCATGCATTTAAAATGTATTTAAATATTCTTTTGATTTAGCTATTGTACATATTTTGCTCCGTTTGCTTAAAATAGTTTTTTCCTATTTGTTTGCTTAAAATATTTTTTTCCTATTTTTATTCTGGTGCTCAGAATGCTCAACTGATTACGGTGAAGAGGAATCCAAGCAAACCATTAAAAACGATGTGTTTCACCCTAGGTACAAATTTTATGAGGAACTAAAAGATATTCGGAAAGACAAATACTTTGTTTTAAAACTGCGTCAAAGTCCAGGGATGAAAAGGAGATTGCTGACTACTGAAGGAGAAAGCCGCACAGATTCAGATGCTGTAAACGAATCAAAAGCTTAGGATTAAAACCTTCATTTAAAAATTAAAAACATTTTCTGTGTAAACAAATAAAATCATTAATAATCATCTTGTTGTGATGTGAAAATTAAAATATTGAATTAAAATCTAGCTAGGCTATAATTAAAGAAAAAAAACAACAGTTTTAATAAAGCATTCCAGTTATATTAAATTAAATGTGTAATGTCATTTGCTGAACACAGAAATAAATCTTTGCTGTGTTTTGTATTAGTTAAGATAAAAACTCAAAAGTCAGAGGAATTGAAAGGGCTTTGAAAAACCATGTAGCTAAACAATTTTGCATTTCTGTTATAAAACTGTTTATGATAAATATAAATAATTCCTCAAAAACTAAATTGAAATAGAAATTAATGCCAAATATAGTATTTATAAACTATGACATATTTTTTGTTGTTGCTAAATATTAAGTTTTAAATGTGCAGACTAGGGATGTGAAAAAATATGTATGTTCAATACGTTTGTAGAACATCAGCTAGAATAAAAAGATTTCACTTTCATGTATGAAACACATCAAATAACTAAACCAGTATTGTTAACCTTATGTGTTCAAATTTTTCTTCTGCATAAAATATTTTTAATTTCTTCGATTTCTTGTTTTTAGTTCTTTTATGTTAGTTTAATACATCTTTATATTTTTAAAATTTAATTAATATATTTTTAAAGATAAATTACTATATTTTTAAAATTTAATTACATTTTAGTTCTGCTTTGATCAAATAAGATTTTAAAAAATATACAATTATTTAAAAAAAATACTTTAAAATATTTGTTTTGAGAAATATAGTCTGTAGAATAGAAAAGTATAATGGTCTGTATTAAACTCTGACGAATTCTGTAAACTTTTCATCTCATTACCATCTATTGCTTTTGCTAAAAATATAATGCAATGTAACAATGCCTTATCATTTTTTAACTTATCTGAAAACATCATATTAATTTTACTTTCTTTAATCAATACAGATTATTTAAAAAACAAAATGACAAAAAAGGTAATGTGAAAATTGCTAAGCAGTAACAAAATAAACTGTCTAAAAGTAGAATAAAAACAATAGACATTTTTAAAAATGTATTTTAAGATTTTAATTTTTAATTCTCACCACAACATGGGCAGCACAAATATCTTTCATGTTTTGTGCAGAATAAAAATAACAGGTATATTTAGACATTTCACAATAGATGATGTATTTTTTCTTTAAAAAGCAGCATCAAATTCATATAAATATCAAAACACAAAGCTTATTAACTTAAGAAATGAAAAAAATCTTCTACTTAGCTCTTTTCAAAATTAGTAGATTAATGACTCCTCATCAAATAATTCAAATAATTATCTTTGGTGTAATTGTGAATTAAAAATTAAATTTTCTTTCTTTTCCAACACTGCAACAGACTGTTCTATTAATTTAATGTACCTATTTTATTTTTCCAAAAAAAATGACATTACAGCTTATTATATGTTTTGAATGATTAAACTTTAAGATATGTTTGTCTGGCATAAAGAAATTTTTTATCAAACTTATGATAAATACTACACAACAGTTTTGTTAACTTTGGGCTGTCTACACAATAAAAATTTGTCCACATATATTAAAAAGGATAACTTTTTGAGGCTAGCTTTTTGAATGCCAGACAAAACAAAACATTATTTTACTTAAGTTTGTAGTTACTTTTTTTTAATTGTTAAATGTAGATTTAGAAAACTTTTAGAAATTTCAATTAAAATGTCCAATTTTTATTCTTTGAAAAAAAACTGCTAGTCAAAGTTTATCACTTCAGCTTTAAATACAGTTACATAAAGTCAAAGCAAAATTATAAACTCATTAAATTTGTGTTAAAAACCTTTACCAGATGAAGTAATGCCATTTTCTTTTCATCATCTTAGTTCTGAATTTGTTTAACTATTCTGAAACTGGTTAATTTACTTTATTTTTGTCTTTTAAATAACTTATAAACTTCTAACTAGAAGTTGAGGCCAGTAAAGTCCCATAGTGAAACTATATTTTCATTTACTTTAACAACATTATCCAATGAACGAGAGTTGAACACAGGAACAAAAAAAGAGGTAAGGAACAGTTCAGTCAATAGTGTATAAGTCACTGGTATTATAAAACATGTCGCACACTGCAATATGTATCATATTGTGGTTAGTAAATAGAATAACATGCAATAAAGCATGACAAGTAACGAAGGATGATCAAAAATATTTTATGTTTGCAATGCCAAACTAAGTGCAAATAAGTACACATTAATTTTTGTGTGCATGCTATTGTTTATATTAAGCATGTTTAAATGGAATGCATTCTAAATTAAAGTACTGATTATAAATTTATATTTGACAAGTGATGAGTAGTTTTTCTATACTTTGGTACAATTATTTTACTAGTATAACTGCATATCAATTGATGAAGTAATGCAGCTATTATGTAATTAATTTAATTAGTCTAGTGTGACATATTACCATGAAATGTGATTGTTTTAATTAAAGGCCAAGCCTTTACAATGCAAATTCTTCTTTTTTCAAAAACTTTTTTGTTTTAAAGACAACTTAAATCTTTCAGTGTACAACTATGAAATCTTTTTCATTTGATGTAAAATAATTGTTTATAAGCCAATGTTTGTAATGTAAGTTAATGCTATCATCTGTTCAGAGTACAAAAATATTTCTATTATTTGATCAGATTTCCGTTTCAGTGTGGTTAAAATAACTGTTTAAAAGTTCTAAGCATTATTGAAAAAACACATGACCTAATAACTGATTGTGCACAATGAAGTAAAATCATTCATTTTTGCATAACATTTTTAGATAGTTAAAATTCACTGTTTGTTAACTTTTTAATTTTTTTGTGTATTATCTAAAATATGTTTAATAAAGGCTGTGCATAAAGTATAAACGTTTTTTTAATTAAAAAAATCCAAATTAGAGAATGATTTGAGAAATATTTCTTGGAGAAATAAAGATATGATAAAAATTAATTTTATATCATATTTTAAATATAACAACTCAAATGTGAAGACTTTGCATTTAATTATTTTAGCGATGTAAAAAAAGTTTGGAAGCTAAAAGTATTTTGTTTTTCTAATTAAATAAAAATCACAGTTAAAAATTTAGAGCTGTGATTGGTAAAGGTTGAATGATAAACATGACTTGATTGTCATTCTAGTAATTAACTAAGTTTGCTCATCATTTTGATTGCTAAACAAAATTCACGATGACATCACTTTAAAACATTTTTACATTCTGCATAATTTTCCTGCAGGCTCAGGTTCATCTGATTGTCATATGGCTGAACAAAAAAAAATTATGTTTTTAATTTAAAACTTCACTTTTCTTACTTTATCTATAAAGTATAAAGGGTAATTTCTGCCACCGTTATATTATTTTAATGGTGCAGTTACCAGAATACAAATAGATATTATATTTTTAAAAAAAAGAAAATTTTCTTTTAAAATATATAAAATCAGTGAGAATTTTTTATCTAAGTTATGCTCACATACTCACATGTTTTTTTATTATTATTATGTATAAATGAAATTTTTTTGTATGAAGAAAATACAGTGTGAGTGGTACTTGATAATTTATCAGCAAACTGGAAATGTTAAATTTAATTATGTAAATAAAAGCTATGAAAAGTTGCTTAGATATTTTTCTTTACATTTTATATTGTACTGATTCTTATAAAATTGTGAATTATGCATTTTGAGGTAGCTTTTACCATAAAATGACTTATTTTTCAGCCATAAAAATATTATTGAATGATTCAATGTATTGTTGAACTTTTGTACAAAATTCTATTTGATTTTCAGAAACTTTGGTGATTTGTTGATATACTTTGTAGTGATTATTGAATATGTATTTATGCTTAAATGTAACTTTTAAACTCAAGTCTGTTTTATGGGAAATGACCAGCAAAATTAATTGATGTGTGTCGTTTTGTCGTTGTGTGGCCAACAAGGCCAATTTAGTGCAATGTGTTCATTCTTTCATATTTACTATAAGAAAAAAAGAAAGTTGATAAATAAAGAGATGTACCCACAATGAGTTTTAGTTTTTCTTACAGATTTTGCAAATATTTTTCATGAGAGTTATTTTTGCCAGAACTACAATAAATAAAGAAGTTGCTCCTAATTATAAGTATTTATTATAAAGTTTCATATAGTGATCAACACTAACTTTTGAAAATTTCTGTGTCTAATTTTTAAAATAACAATCTTGTCACAAAATATGATGAAATATTTGAATTAGCTCTAAATATAACAGTATTTTAAGAAATTTAGATGCTTTGTCCCTAGAATGACTTCCCTGTCAGTCCAATAGCTTGTAAATGAGGTGAATTAGTGCAGAACATTTTAGGAACCCCTACCGTTTAAGGATTTTTTTGCGTTTCAGCTTCATTAACATCAAGTATAAGTCATTCAACAGTTCATATAAAACATTTAATTTAATGATAAAAAATAATTTTGTAATTTGGAGCCAGACTGTTCTATAAGATTCTTTTCCAATGGTAAATTTGATCATTTATTCGGAGCATTCAGTTTTAGAATTAGTTACCTTAAAAAAAATTATTGCTAAAAAATAGGTTATTGCATTTTTCAATAACGAGTACTAAGCAGTTAAAAATGTGTAATTGAAATTATGGGCAATAAATTACTAAACCATTTTTAAAAATATTTTCCCTTCAGCTGCTTATTTGCATATTATAAGTTTATAGGATTATAGATGCATAGAATAAAATGATAATGCATTAATAAATTAAATTGTAATGAATACATTTTAGAAAGTAAATAATATTGCTCTAAATTATTATATCTTTGAAACTGATTTTACTGCACTATTAATTAGTACATTCCCTTTGTAAATTATTTACTTAAGTTGAAGGCAAAGCTCCACAAGACTTTCTCGTTTGATTATTTACACACCTCGTAATTAACAATCATTTAATGAATGTAAGAGAACCAATTCAGTTTACTTTCATTTACTTCATTTTTATTCAAACAAGTATACATCTTTTCAATCCATGTGTACATTATTTTATTTTAAAACCATCCTTGCAATTAAAAAAAAATCACTTTAATAGAAACAAAAAAATTAATCCGCCATTCACTCCAATGGTAGTAAAACGTTCAGGTACTAGGAGGCACAAATAAAAAAATGAGACGATCAGAGTGTGAAAGGAACATTGAACTTGTTTAAATATTTACAATATTTAATAAACATCGGTAAGTGGTTATAACACTTGAAGCAATATTGTCAGATTGCCTTAAACCACAACTTCCAGGTATAAAAATATATACACGGTAACGTATGTTGGAAAAATGTTAAAACATTTTCCAAAGTTCTGAAACGTAGTTCATTCTCACCGTCAACAATCAAGCTAGTTTGTTTCAGGCTTCTTCAAATTGTAATAAATATACTAGCACATACAATAAAAGAAACATGCAAATACAATATGCTTTAGAGATAAAAAAAACAACAACACATTTTATGTGTGTGTTACTTGTGGAGAGTTTGTGTTGTGCTTAGATTTAGGTGGAGACTAAAATAATAATTGAAAAAATCTAGGTAAATAAAAATCTAAAGCTAATCATTATTCTCATGTGATATGTAATTAAAAACTTTTATGAAAGAATTAACTATTGCTAATAAAAAGGTGAATAAAAAAATAAATACAATAATTAAAGTCCTATTACTTTATAAAACAACAACTTTAAAATCAATTTCTAAGCTAGATTAGACTTATAAAACTAAAAATTACATTTTATAAAAATGAAAAAAAATTACCCAATCATTATATAGCCTTGTTATTTTCCTTTTGTATAGTTTTGTTATATTAATGTCTTAATCAGCTTGTTGTTATCTACATAGGCCTATTTAGTCAGCGAAGAATCTGAATAAAAAAAGTCAAACCAATTTAGTAAACCTGTTTAGGGAAGATTATTTCAGTCCTGTTAAATACTTAGACAAAAAAAAAAATGTGTGAACACAGTATGTAAGTTCTAAGCATGTGCAGAGTTTAGCTTATAATAATTTAATTACTAAGTGGAATAAATAGCTTTAAGTATAGTTAATTTCAACTTAAATGTAAGTGCAAAAGATGTTTTATTTGAATTTTGAAATTATAAAAGGGATAAACTGAATTTGTTTAATAATACCTAAATTTAATATTACAATTAAATATACAACTCAATAAAAATGTTTACATTTTAAATTTTATATACAAATTTAAGTAAATAAACTCATACAACTAATATCTTTTCTTAATGTACAAGTACTTATCGAGGTAGTGACAAATTATTTTTAAATATTCTTTGACAAAATATACAGTTAATATTGATAGCACAATTTTGAAATATTAACTAAAAAAATCAGTATGGGGAAATAAAAAAGTCAAAACAATCTTTACAGAACTAAAAACAAAAATGAAACATTCTGATGATTAGATGCTCAAGATAAGTGAAAGTATAAATATGTTAAAGAATAATTTGTATTGGAAAACACTACACAAGATAACTATGAAAAAAAAGTACTGAAATTAAATTAGTATCTTCCAGTGGTCCCATTTTGTTAAAAACAAAGGCACCATGTAAAAGAAAAATAAACAGCTTCAAGATTTAAAAATAAATTCCCCATTGGAAATCTAGATCTATAAAAAAAAATTTAAATAATATGTATAGTTGAAAATGTATTTTTGACATGCAAATAATTTTTCTGGATTACTTTTAGCACTCTTGATTTATTGATGATGGAAAATAAATTCAACAATATGCTGCTGATTAACATACACAAAAATGTTTTCTTTTTGGTAACATGGTGATCTCTAAAATAATTTTACATGTTAATAGAGGTCAAGGTTAAAAAAAACCCCCACAGGAAACAATGATGGAGCAATGTAGCCTGATATCTTGTACATGTTCATGTTGCACAGTGAACTTAAACACCAACAGTAGGGCCTAACATTGTTGTAAATTAGACACACACTATATCAAGTTTCTAATAAGCATATTCACAGTAAATGACATATTTTCTATTTTTCTATTCTTTAAAGAATAGGCCTCAGTCACAAAATTATTGATTCTAGTTTTGAAGAAAAAAAGAATATTTTTTTTTGGTAAAAAAATCCCCTGTTGTAATTAACACTAAAATTATTTATAAAACTTTTATAAACTTTGTCTTAATGAATTAAAGTTTTAAGTACAGTAAAGCTCATCTGACAGATAGGCCTACTTTGCAGTAAAGTATTTTATAAGGTCTATGTTTAACTTATTTTGTAACTTTAAAGTTGGTCTTAAATTTCTACACTAGGGTTAAAATCCAGAGGGTACCTATCAGCATAGATATTTACAAGCGGGAAAAACATTATAGATCTCTATCTTCGTTTCAGATTAAAACATTTTGTTCACCAAAGCTAACAATGATGCAAATGAAACTTAATGAAAACCACTGAATAAAATACTTAAATTTCCACCTATAAATTGATGTTTGCTAGTAACTGAAAATTAAAAGAAAAAAAAAGTATCACATTATTTTATAAAAAGTAAGAAATAACTATGAAAGAATGAGATTTTGATAATATTTGGTTAAATTCAAATATGCTTGTTTTATTTTAAATACTTTAATTAGTAATTTACTGTTGTCTGCTAGGGTTAAAAAAGCAATCCTCAAGTTGTTTCCCCTGGAAATTTTAAATTGCTTTATAGACCTCTTTGCTTATTCAGCTATATTAAGTTGTCTGGCAACCTTTACTTGAATTTCTCTTTACCCTGAGTAAATATTGTAAAAAAAAAAAACACAAACAAACAATGAATACAAATATTAACATCTTAGAATATATGAACAAAATTTCAATTTAATTTTAATAGTAAAGTAAAATGGAAAAACTTTTGCTATACTTAAAAAAATCTATAACTACATATGATGTCATACAATTTTACTTTTTGCTTGAAAAACCATTAAGCAACATTTCATAAGGATCCCAAATAAAAAAAAACAAATTTTAAATTAATTTTACATAGTACAGAGAGTAATGCATGTAGTTTTCTGTAGGGTTGGAGTTCAAAAACATTTATCATGATAATACATGTAAGTGCATTGTAAAATAAGGTAGAGGCTAGGTATTATTAAACTTTGTTGGTGGTGTGTGATCTAATGCGCAGGTAGGTGATTTATTTAAGGGTGACATCCTGTAATAAAAAAATATTTAACACTCAGAACTATGTAAAGCATCCAGGTTCAGCGTTCAGATTGTTTATGTTGCAAGCTCCACATTTGTTATTTCATGGTCACCCAGAGACTCAGAAACAGGAAACGCATCACACAATTTTACTCTATAAAAATATCATTAATTCAAATTAAAAATAAACATGTTTTCATCATTGTTTATTTTAAGTACATAATATATATGTTACATTTCTTTTCTTATCCTGCTATATAGAAAAATTCGGTATATAATTTTAAGACCCCCCCCCTATGTTTGTGTTGCCATTTATAGTGACTAGTGTTTCTTTCAGGCATCTCTTCGGGTGGTGCGACCCCCTCTCCCAAAGTATCAAGTGCTCCCCAGGAGAAAAAAGTCTGAAAGAAACACTGAGTGATAGTGACCATTTTACTGTATTACAGAGCAAACAGCGATGACCAACAAAAAAACTCCAGTCCTGTATTAGATTCCAACTCTAATGTTTACTACAAGTCAAGTTGAGCAAGACTATCCTAATTTCTTGCCTTGTTTTCTAAGACTCTACTGCATTGAAAAAAAAAGGTGTGTCAACATTGATTCAAACAGATCTATCAATATTGGTTCATATAGGTAGATCAACACTAAATCATACAAGTATATCAATGCTGATTCAAACTAATTCATATTGGTGGATCAACACTGGTTCATGCAGACCTATCAATATTGATTCATTCAAGGTGTAATATACAGGTGTTGATTTCATCTGGTGCTCATTACGACATAGTCAATTAGTGCTGACGTCTAATGGTGCTGTTCATTGACTCTATTATAACAGTGACAACGTGTCGGGTAGAAGGTTCAAATCTCAACCACATTCTGTAGTCACAGTTGCTGTATTCAAATAAATAAAAAATTGATTCCAATTCTTTCTTCATACTAGTATACGGTCCAAGTACATTACGATGTAAGGGAAGTAATCGTGTATTTGAAAATCATTTCATCACTTATTTCCCTTAGACCGTTAAAATAGAACATTTTGTCATCCGCTGCCACAATCACCGAGTTCACGAAAATTGTTCTAAAATATAAACTCTACATGTAGCGTGCTATGGTCATCAATTCCCGATCGTCCAGTGTGTGACCACGAACTCTACATGTAGCGTGGTGGTCATCAATTCCCGATCGTCCAGTGAGTGACCACGAGGCCAATGAACAGGTACAACGTTGATTGACTGAGTGGACATGATGATGAATTATTGGAAGAGACGGTACCTGAAACAAAACAAAAAACATTCCTGTATTTACCGAGTTCGTTTTATATCTAATCAAGTATTTGACCTTAACATATTGTGGGTGTTGTTTTAATTAAACCAGGTATTTTGTTTAATTAAGCTATACAGCTATAATATTTTACAATTAAGCCAGCCATCTCGTCTTTGTAATGCCATTTAACAACGATATCAACAATCCTGAGTTTATCAACATTTCAGTGGCGAAGGCAATGGGGGGGGGGGGGGGGGGGGGGGAGGGAAGGGGGGGGGGAAGGGGGGAGGGGTTATAACCCCTCCCATGGACTCACACTCCTATATATATATATATATATATATATACATATAAATAAATATATATATATATATATATATATACATACATACATATATATATATATATATATATATATATATATATATATATATATATATATATATATATATGATTTTATACATATGGAAACATATTTGAACCCCTCCCATGACCAATTCATGGCTACGCCACTGCATTTGACTAAAGGCCACTCACCTCGCTTTACATTACTGGAATCAGCTGTAGAAAAAGAAAAAAAAAGAATTTAGACTGTATAGACTTTAATTTTCATGTATATAAGTGATTGTTAGTTTATTTTTTGGGCTAAAAAAAGGAAAAAAAAAAAAAAAAAAACAGCAGATGAACATACGATAAGTGGTTCTTGGGCCACACAGCGCGAATGTAAATAATAAAAAAATGTAAAGTTATGACACGCAATTATAATGTTATTTAACTGTTCTGTTATTTCACGTTTGTTTATAAAATGGTTAAACATGTAAAGATGTTTTAGGATTGCTGCATAAGACATCCATAAATTAAAACTTGACATCATGTCTATCATTCGTAGCAAGGTTAATAACAACCAAGCTTTTTCGCTATTAAAAAAATAAAATAAAAATAAAATATATGTCTGGTTTGCTCTGAGCGACAAAGTGTAAACATGTGTGTGTATGTGTAAATGTGCGTTTGTAGGTTTGTGTATACGGTAACTGCAGTGTGTGTGTAATCCAGTAGCTGTCACAGTGATACAGTCACAGTCCTGTGAATGTGTATGTGTGTGAGATGCAGTAATTGCAGTGTATATGTGATGCAGTACCTATCGTGTGTGCGAGCGTGTGATATAATCACTGCCCTGTATGTGTGTGATACTGCCGTTTTTGTGTGTGTTTGTGTAATCCAGTACCTGTCGTGTGTGTGTGTGTGTGATGCAGTAATTGCCGCGTGTATGTGATGCATCATCTATCGTGTGTGTGTGTGTGTGTAATCCAGTACCTGTCGTGTGTGCGAGCGTGTGCTATAATCACTGCCCTGTATGTGTGTGATACTGCCGTTTGTGTGTTTGTGTGTGTGTGTGTGTAATCCAGTACCTGTCGTGTGTGTGTGTGTGTAATCCAGTACCTGTCGTGTGTGTGTGTATGTATGTGATGCAGTACTTGCCATCTGTGCGAACATGTGATGCAGCTATATGTACTCACCTACTAAGACCTGCACGGCGATGTCCTTGAGTTTGTTGTATGATGACCTGCACACGTACGTGCCCGCGTGCTGACCCCCTGCTCGGTCCACCTGTAGGGTACTCACCAGCGCCCCGTCTTCGTAAGACCGGTAGGTGTATATGACGTAATCTTTGAACCTGGGGCCCGATATGATGTTGCCATCCTGTGCAGAGAACGTACACATTCATAAACCTACGCACAGATGGTGAACGCACACATACATAAACCTACGCTCAGATGGTGAGCAAACACATACATAAACCTAAGCACAGATGGTGAACGCACACATACATCAACCTACGCTCAGATGGTGAACGCACACATACATAAACCTACGCACAGATGGTGAACGCTCACAATTAAATAAACTAACGCATAGATGGTGAACGTACACATACATCAACCTACGGACAGATTGTGAACGCGCACAATTAAATAAACTTACGCACAGATGGTGTAAGTATACACAGTTAAATAAATGTGCGAACAGATGTTGTGCGACTAAATGAAGAAGTGCGCACTGATGGTGCAAGCATACAATGAAATGAAGGTAGGCACCAGCAGTATACATTTGTCGTAGCCTCTCTAGCACCACAATAAATTTGGAGTTAGTTATAGTGCGAGACGGGAGTGCTTAGTTACATCATATTGCTCTGGACAATGAGCTTATGTCAATACAGAATAACTGTCTTCTGGGCTTAGAATACTAGGCGGTCAGTAATATCCTCTATAAACTGATGGGAAATTTGATTTTCTGAGGTCTGTTTGGGAGCTAAATGAAAAACAACTTAAGGCTGATATGAGATGTTGAGCTTAAACATATATTATAAGCAGGGCATATGTTAGGGTATAAATATATCTAATTAATTGAGGGACAAAACCTTAATCAGCTGTAATTATAGTACCGCCTTAATTAGCTGTATTAAGATCAAAGGAAAAAAATCAGTTTTATTTATTATGGTCACATGGACAAAACCTTAGTTAGCTGTAATTATAGTACCGGCTTAATTAGCTGTTATACCGTGAAAGGGACACCTATTTGGCAATGCTTAGCTTATTAGCATCGGTCAGCTGCTTAAGGAAAAAGATCCCCACTTTCACCATTTTCTCTTCAATGATGAAGTGGTGACCCTAATCTTCTTGATGGTCATCGCGGTCCGAATAATGGTCAGGGACTGGACAGTGACGATGGGGTGAGGGGGGGGGGGGGGGGTAGAGAAGGGGATAACATTTGATACGGGCTGGGGTTTGGGAGGTGGAGGAAATCTACATCTGAATGGAGAAATGGGGAAGGGGAGATAACCGGACGTGAGACAGAATAGTGTGATAAAAGGGGCGAGTTACACATTTAGGGGGAGGGTAAGGAAGGGGCAACTCGGTACAGAGCACGGTTTCAGTTTGTTAAGGTATCCCATGTTAAAAAATAAAACAAGAAGCAATTAACGCTATATTTTACAAGGACTATACTAAATAATATTTTATTAGTAACTATTCGTTTAAAAAAAAGCATATTCAAACACACTTCATACTTTTAATATTTAATTATACTTTACTACTCACTCTCTACTACAGCACTTTCGGACGAAAGACTACTCTGTAATCTTTCCTTAAAGGTGTCTGGTCTAAAACCCCCTGGACAAAACCCCCCGACATAAACCCCCTGGAAATAAACCCCCGCGACATAAACCCCCTGGACAAATACCCCCCCCCCCCCCCCGCGATATAAACCCCCTGGACAAAAAAAACCAATTGAGGTTTATATAAAGAAAAACCAACGATGATGAGAACTAAAATTAATAACTAAAACAAAACAAACATTAGGAAAAAAAGTGTTTTATTGTAATTTTAAATGGTAGGCTCATTAAAACTTTAAACAACAGTTAAAATTCGATCGCTGCTATCAATATATTTTCTTTTCTGATTTGGTAAACAGTGTCCTGAATTTATCTGTGTACAATAAACCTCTTGGAGCTATTGCTCCTTTTAATAAAGTCATTGAATTTCCAAATATTTGGGTGGCAACATCCCATATTCGACTGGAAACTTCCGTGCCAGTCTTCATCTGAGTTGTTTGTTTTTAGCATATGGTCTTCTGCACGTGAGTTATTATTTCCTTATATAAACCTCGGTTGGGTGTTTATTATCCAGGGTGTTTATGTCGCGGGGAGTTTATGTCCAGGGGGTTTATGTCGGGGGGTTTATATCCAGGGGGTTTATGTCCAGGGGGTTTTTGACCGGGAGCCTACCTTGGCTCCAGGTAAAAAATGACCCCTCTGAAATCTAAACCCAGTTCATATGTTGATATATTTTGACCCCTAATTCACACAGATGACCCCTATGAAATCTTACCTTAAACCAGTAGATCTGTTGATATATTTTGACCCCTATTTTAGACTGACCCCTATGAAATCTTACCTTAACCCAGTCTATAAGTTGATGCATTTTGACCCCTAATTCAGACAGATAACCCCCCCCCCCTGAAATCTTACCTTAATCCATTCTATAAGTTAATGTCTTTTGACCCCTAATTCAAAGAGATGACCCCCATGAAATCTTACCTTAATCCATTCTATAAGTTGATATATTTTGACCCCTAATTCAGACAGATGACCCCTCTGAAATCTTACCTTAAACCAGTCTATCTGCTCGGCTATCTGGACCCCTCCTGTAGCGTTACACTGCAGCAGGATCTGACCCCCACGTTCAACAAACTGGGTACCGGTCAGGGTGACATCTAAAAAAATATTTTTTTCAAGTGTGTCAAGTTTAAGTGTCTAGCATAGAAAAGCATATTTTAAAATCTTCCGTAAGTATTTTTTTTAAACTTACGTTTCTTTTACGATTTAAGTGACTTATGCAAAATAAAATACCATTTTACATAAGTTGCTTTTTTAGTAAAAAGGCCACTTAACAACTAATATTTTCGTGAGCTGGCATGCATTGAGATGGTGTTTTACGTTTTACCCAGCCTCTAAGATTATCATACTTATTACTTTAAAATGGGGTTGAGGAGGGAGTGGGGTGTGTTAATGGACTCATATGGAAACCCCCATCCATTGACGACATACACGATGATACTATAAATTTAATAGATTTTTGTGGTTGCTATAATGTTCATAGAAGTTCATAAAAGTAAACAAAGTATCTCACCTGGATCTGTTATAGGTGGACCTGTTTTAAAAACAAATATATTAATTTTGTAATTATAGTGAGGAAAAACATACACAAGAAGCTAAAATGGACAAATAATACATAAGCCATCAGTATGATACGAATGCGCTTACTTTATTTGAATGATTTTTCCCTATATTTTTATTCTTACAAAATTGAAAAGCTTAAATACAATAGTAAATTTAAATACAATGGAGTAATGCTATATGTTACAAGTATGGTATGTTGTAGTAGGTCTGGTATATAAGGTATAACAAAAAAACCTCACTGAGCTTACCGCCATCCTAATATAGACTTACATCATAACAGTGTAACACCGAGCTTACCCAGATCCTTTGTAGACCAATTTCATTACATTGTAACATTAACACCTTGAGCTTACCCCCATCCCTATATAGACCTACATCATTACAGTGTTACATAAACTCCCTGAGCTTACCCCCATCCCAATATAGACCTACAACATCACAATATAACAACATAAACTCCCTGAGCTTACCCCCATCCCTATATAGACCTACAACAGTATAACAACATAAACTCCCTGAGCTTACCCCCATCCCTATATAGACCTACAACAGTATAACAACATAAACTCCCTGAGCTTACCCCCATCCCTATATAGACCTACAACAGTATAACAACATAAACTCCCTGAGCTTACCCCCATCCCTATATAGACCTACAACAGTATAACAACATAAACTCCCTGAGCTTACCCCCATCCCTATATAGACCTACAACAGTATAACAACATAAACTCCCTGAGCTTACCCCCATCCCTATATAGACCTATAACAGTGTAACAACATAAACTCCTTGAGCTTACCCCATCCCAATATAGACCTACAACATCACAATATAACAACATAAACTCCCTGAGCTTACCCCCATCCCTATATAGACCTACAACATTATAACAACATAAACTCCCTGAGCTTACCCACGACGGTTAGCTTGACATGTTTGGCGTACCCGGCCACCGAGGCCAACTGGCACTCGTAGAGTCCGGCGTCTGATTTCCTGACGCTGTGGAACAGCAGTGACCATTCCTCCACCTCGTCAGGGTGTGGCACGTGCATGACCTCGACCTTGTCATCTGGCAACCAAGACATCGTGCCGACGGTCATGAACTTTTCCAGGTCGACAGAGCGCCACGCCACCTGGTGGGTGAAAAAAGGGGGGGGGGGTTAGATCACAATAGGTGGGGGTACAAGAACGGCATAAATAAGGTGGTGGTGGTGGTAGTGGTGCATAAGGGTAGCCTACAGTAGATCTTGCTGTACAATGTGGTCCATGAACTTGTTTATGTGTCAATGCATGTCTACTTGTTTATGTACCTGTCCATGTGATTACACATGTAGCGGTCCATATACATGTCTATGTATATGTCAATATATTTGTCAATGTAGCTGTCAATGTACCTGTATATTCCCATGTGCATGTGTATGTCCATGTACCTTTCAATGTTCCTACCTGTCCAATAACCTGTGTTTCTCTCCATGTACCTGTCTACCTGTCCATGTTTTAGCCAGCTGGTCAGTCTGTACCTGTAATGGCGTCACTAGGTCGGGTGTCACTTGGTGCTGTGTCACCCCTCTCCAGTGGCGTCGCGAGGTCGGTTGTCACCCGGCGCGGCACTTAATGGTGTCACCCCCCAGAGGCGTAGCAACCCTTCCCGGGGACAAACTTACAAACTTTCAAATTTTCGATTTGCACCCCCCTCTATATATTTTGCTATTTTTTTGCCTTGGTGTCACCCCCCTAAATGGTGTCACCCGGTGCGGTCCGCCCCCTCCTCGCTACGCCTCTGCCCATCTCCTCCTAATATTTTATTTTCTTAAGATTTTTTAACACTTCTACAAATAAACCACATAAAAACCAATTAACCTTTGTTTCATATCTCATGTATTGACATAACTATCTGCACCAAACAACTAAAAAAAAATCCATATGTTCCCATTAGTGGTTTAAAAAACCCACCAATCGTGGCCTCCTAAAATAACCACCTTTAGCCTTTCCTGATACTTGACGGCGAACTCCAGCCACGACGCGACAAATATTGACACAATTTTATGATTGATCTTTGTCGGGTGGTTCCAAGACCACATCAATCAAGTGGGGACGGAGGGGGGGGGGGGGTGGGGGGGGGGTTTGGGTGGGGGGGGGGGGGGAGGGTCATATTGTTGACTGAGTGAACCTCTACCGTCTCCTTCTCTTTGAATTAATTCCATTCCATTAATTCCATTCTCGGAAAATTATCAGTGAGTCACAGGCGTCCACGCACAAGCAAGTGATGAACAATTTCAATTGTTCTGCTACCGTGTGGGGATTTAGTCCATCTGCTGGGTCATATGATGCAGTCGTTCTTATGGTCTAGCCAAGATTTTTAAAGTTCTATTCAATTGATGTATTGATTTTATTGATACACAGCTAAGACTGCCGACCTTTCAACTTTGTTAAAGGCGTTGTCTACCTAATATAGCAATTACTGCCAATCATTAACGGAGCAATTACCATATTGGTTTTATGGAATACCAAGTTATCAACAAATCATTTCTTCTCCCCTCTCATCGGACTATCCATCGTAAAATAAAGTGTTATATAAAGAACAGTGTGTTTGTCTACACATTATATACGTCAGTTATACGAACAGCAATATCTGAGCAATACAATGGCGGTCATCTGATCTTTTTACTAAGTTTCAACAAGAAAACAATAGAATAAAATATTGGTTTAAGGTTTGCATCATTCAAACTGTTTCAACGGTTTGACCATTATTCCCCAAGTCATAGCATAACACTTTAATGAATTCTTCCCAAAGTGTGGACAGTAAAGCGCACGACTGCTATTCAGGAAGTATCGAGTTTGGTAGGTAGGCCTACCTCTCTCAGATTGGTGGGCTCGGTAGGTACCTCACTAAGATTGGTGGAATAAAATACACCAGGGATAGAACTGATCACAATACTTCAGTATATGCAGAGGGCACAGAGGCTGGTGAACTCTACGTCATCTGCTGTAACATCACATTTTTACCACTACCACATAAGTGTTAAGCATATGCCTTCACGGTCTCTGTTAGAATATCTTGTGTCATCTGGTCGAGTCAAATTCTAACTTTTCTTTATAGGATCATAAGAGAAGCGTAATGTTTGGTCATATCAAAGTCTAACTTATCTTGACCTAGACATCAGAGAAATATTGTGTCTGGTCATATCAAAGTCTAACTTATCTTGACCCACCATCAGAGAAATATTGTGTCTGGTCATATCAAATTCTAACTTATCTTGACCTAGCTATCAGAGAAATATTGTGTCTGGTCATATCAAAGTCTAACTTATCTTAACCTAGCCATCAGAGAAATATTGTGTCTGGTCATATCAAAGTCTAACTTATCTTAACCTAGCTATCAGAGAAATATTGTGTCTGGTCATATCAAAGTCTAACTTATCTTTACCCAGTCATCAGAGAAATATTGTGTCTGGTCATATCAAAGTCTAACTTATCTTGACAATCAGCAGAGAAATATTGTGTCTGGTCATATCAAAGTCTAACTTATCTTGACAATCAGCAGAGAAATATTGTGTCTGGTCATATCAAAGTCTAACTTATCTTGACCTAGCTATCAGAGAAATATTGTGTCTGGTCATATCAAAGTCTAACTTATCTTGACCCACCATCAGAGAAATATTGTGTCTGGTCATATCAAAGTCCAACTTATCTTGACAATCATCAGAGAAATATTGTGTCTGGTCATATCAAAGTCTAACTTATCTTGACTGGGCTATCAGAGAAATATTGTGTCTGGTCATATCAAAGTCTAACTTATCTTGACCTTGCCATCAGAGAAATATTGTGTCTGGTCATATCAAAGTCTAACTTATCTTGACCTAGCCATCACAGAAATATTGTGTCTGGTCATATCAAAGTCTAACTATCTTGACCCACCATCCGAGAAATATTGTGTCTGGTCATATCAAAGTCTAACTTATCTTGACAATCAGCAGAGAAATATTGTGTCTGGTCATATCAAAGTCTAACTTATCTTGACTGGGCTATCAGAGAAATATTGTGTCTGGTCATATCAAAGTCTAACTTATCTTGACCTTGCCATCAGAGAAATATTGTGTCTGGTCATATCAAAGTCTAACTTATCTTGACCCACCATCAGAGAAATATTGTGTCTGGTCATATCAAAGTCTAACTTATCTTGACCTTGCCATCAGAGAAATATTGTGTCTGGTCATATCAAAGTCTAACTTATCTTGACCTAGCTATCAGAGAAATATTGTGTCTGGTCATATCAAAGTCTAACTTATCTTGACCTAGCTATCAGAGAAATATTGTGTCTGGTCATATCAAAGTCTAACTTATCTTGACTCGGCCATCAGAGAAATATTGTGTCTGGTCATATCAAATTCTAACTTATCTTGACCTAGTCATTAGACTTCATTAGAGAAATATTGTGTCTGGTCATATCAAAGTCTTACTTATCTTGACCTAGCTATCAGAGAAATATTGTGTCTGGTCATATCAAAGTCTAACTTATCTTGACCTAGCTATCAGAGAAATATTGTGTCTGGTCATATCAAAGTCTAACTTATCTTGACCTTGCCATCAGAGAAATATTGTGTCTGGTCATATCAAAGTCTAACTTATCTTGACCTAGCTATCAGAGAAATATTGTGTCTGGTCATATCAAAGTCTAACTTATCTTGACCTTGCCATCAGAGAAATATTGTGTCTAGTCATATCAAATTCTAACTTATCTTGACCTAGCTATCAGAGAAATATTGTGTCTGGTCATATCAAAGTGTAACTTATCTTGAACTAGCCATCAGAGAAATATTGTGTCTGGTCATATCAAAGTCTAACTTATCTTGACATAGCCATCAGAGAAATATTGTGTCTGGTCATATCAAAGTCTAACTTATCTTGACCTAGCCATCAGAGAAATATTGTGTCTGGTCATATCAAAGTCTAACTTATCTTAACCTAGCCATCAGAGAAATATTGTGTCTGGTCATATCAAAGTCTAACTTATCTTAACCTAGCCATCAGAGAAATATTGTGTCTGGTCATATCAAAGTCTAACTTATCTTAACCTAGCTATCAGAGAAATATTGTGTCTGGTCATATCAAAGTCTAACTTATCTTTACCCAGTCATCAGAGAAATATTGTGTCTGGTCATATCAAAGTCTAACTTATCTTGACAATCAGCAGAGAAATATTGTGTCTGGTCATATCAAAGTCTAACTTATCTTGACAATCAGCAAAGAAATATTGTGTCTGGTCATATCAAAGTCTAACTTATCTTGACCTTGCCATCAGAGAAATATTGTGTCTGGTCATATCAAAGTCTAACTTATCTTGACCCACCATCAGAGAAATGTTGTGTCTGGTCATATCAAAGTCCAACTTATCTTGACTGGGCTATCAGAGAAATATTGTGTCTGGTCATATCAAAGTCTAACTTATCTTGACCTAGCCATCAGAGAAATATTGTGTCTGGTCATATCAAAGTCTAACTTATCTTGACCTAGCCATCACGTGACTAACAAAGCCGCCTACTGCAGCTGTCACAATATCGTCTGCTTGCCAAAAGCTGATGGAATCAAACACTAATCCCATGTTCAACAAATGAGTTTATTGAATCCAATCCGGTTAATCCGATTTACGATTTGAATTGAGGATAATCCAATGATACATGAATAATAATCCAGGATTTAAAATGATTGAAATTGATATTTGATTAGACATATTTTGTTTTGTTAGAGAAATTTGGAACTAGAAAGTGAATGAAGAGTAAGTTTGACATATATATATATATATATATATATATATATATATATATATATATATATATATATTCTACTGTCTAACACCATACCGCCATCCCATGAACCCACAACACCACCATCTCTAATATAAACAACACTATCACAACAAAAAAGCTGAAAAATCGAGTTTAAAAACTTCTTTAAAATTTTAATTTTTTTTGGTGTATTTTTAACAAAAAATTGACCCAAGTTCTTTCCTTCCCCCTACATTATAAAACTGCCTTTATCACGCATAAGAATAGCATGATTAAATCCCAAGAGACTTTATTATATGCATGGCAAGTCTTTTGATTTATTTATATACGTCACATACTAACCATCT